CAGCAGCAGCAGCAGCAGCAGCAGCAGCAGCAGCAGCAGCAGCAGCAGCAGCAGAAGCAGCAGCAGGAGCAGCAGCAGGAGCAGGAGCTGGTGCTGCTGCTGCTGCTGCAGTAGGGGAGCAGCAGAAGGACTTTTGAGTGTAGGCGTAATGCTGTTGCTGCTGCGGTTCGTGCTGCTGCTGCATCTGCTCTTTGCTGCTGCTGCTGCTGCTGCTGCTGCTGCTGCTGTTGCTGCTGCAGCTGAATAAAGAGGAACGGAAAGAGGCAATCCGCGTGCTGCAGCAGCTGCTGCTGGGGGTTTTGCTGCAGCCGGCAGCAGCANGGAACGGAAAGAGGCAATCCGCGTGCTGCAGCAGCTGCTGCTGGGGGTTTTGCTGCAGCCGGCAGCAGCAAAAAAGAGAAAAGTTCGAGCGGCTAACAACACCTTTCATGCTGCAGCAAGTCCCAAACCCTAAACCCTAAACCCTAAACCCTAAACCCTAATTTGCAAACCCTAAACCCTAATTTGTAAACCCTAAAACCCTAAACCCTAATCTAGATCCGAAACAGTTGGCGCTAGAAACCCTCAGCATCAAACCCTAAACAGAGAGATACAGCACCTTGAGGGTTTAGGGTTTAGGGATTAGGGTTTAGGGTTTAGGGTTTAGGGTTTGTGCAGGTGGGTCGCCACCCCTCAGCAGTGAGGGTTTTGCTGTCGGTGGGGTTTGTTGAGGAGATGAATGGAGGGGAGCAGTGTTTGGTGCTGCGAGCGGCATACCTGCAGCGGTAAAACCCTAAACCCTAAACCCTAAACCCTAAACCCTAATTTGTAGGATCAAACCCTCGGTCCTCTCTCTCTTCCACCTGAGCGTATACGCCTAAACCCTAAACCCTAAACCCTAGACAATGAGACGACAGCATGAACCCTCTCTATCTCCAAATATCAAGGGTTTACCAGGGCCTAGGGTTTAGGGTTTAGGGTTTAGGGTTTAGGGTTTGTATGCAGGCTAGTATTATGTTATCGTCTGCTGGCGGAGGTTGCTGCACCGCTGGGGGTTTTGCTGCCGCCGCTGCCGCAGGGTTACTTCGACCCCTTCTCTAGTAGTTTTACATCGAGTGCAGGCAAAAGGAAAGCTAAACCCTAAACCCTAAACCCTAAACCCTAATTTGTAAACCCTAATTTGTAAACCCTAATTTGGAAACCCTAAACCCTAATTTGGAATAGGGAAACCCTAATCAGCCATACCAGTAAACCCTAATAAATGAAGGGATTTTTCATTGCCTCGCCAGACAAACCCTAAAAAATATAAACCCTAAACCCTAGACTATACTGTGTAAACCCTAAACCCTAGTAAACCCTCAAAAACCCTAATAAACCCCTANCCTAAACCCTAGACTATACTGTGTAAACCCTAAACCCTAGTAAACCCTCAAAAACCCTAATAAACCCCTACAAAGCCTCATAAATTCTAGCTGCACGCGGGCGATGCTGCCGTGCATGAGGAGACGAGAGCACAGCGGATGCTGTGGTTTAGGGTTTAGGGTTTAGGGTTTAGGGTTTGCGTGCTGCAGCACTCTACCGCCGTCTGCAGCAGAAGCAAGAGCAGCGGAGGCGCGGGAGATCGAGCAGCAGATAAAAGAGAGGGAAAAGCTGCTAGCAGTAAACCCTAAACCCTAAACCCTAAACCCTAAACCCTTATCCTGCGTCACTCTTGAATCCCACTCATATGGCAACAAGACACAAGACCCTCGGGGTTAAGGGTTTAGGGTTTAGGGTTTAGGGTTTAGGGTTTAGGGTTTGTTTGCAGACAGGGGGAGGGGCAGCTCCCCCACCCCTAGACGTTCAGGTGTATACACTGAGCGAAATGAGGCAGAGAGACCGCGAGCAGCAGCAGCAGCAGCAGCAGCAGCAGCAGCAGCAGCAGGATGACTTTCATGATGGAGGAGGCAGCGCCGGCTATTTTACACCAGCAGATATTGCTCGCATCAAAGACGTACGATAGACCCTCGAGGGTTTAGGGTTTAGGGTTTAGGGTTTAGGGTTTAGGGTTTGCAAACTAGGGTTTAGGGTTTAGGGTTTAGGGTTTAGGGTTATGGATCAGACTGTGTGATCTTTTTGTTGATGAGGGTGTGTTGCTAATGATATATTGTTTACTGTATGAAATGTATGCAAATTAGGGTTTAGGGTTTAGGGTTTGTGAGGGTTTGTGAGGGTTTGTGTATTATGTTTTTAGATAATGGGAGAAGGCCCAAGCTTTCAGTCTCGAGCAAAGCAGCAGCTGCAGCTGCTGCAGCGGCGGCCTCTCTTTTGCTGCTGCTGCGTTCGTTTGCTGCTGCCGGATCATTTCGTGCTGCAGCTGAATTTCGGGCCCTGGCAAACCATCGCCCATGTGCAGCAGACTGCAGCACAGGTATATATATAAAAAAATAAAATAAAATAAAATAAAATAAAATAAAATAAAATAAATATTATTATAATAAATTATGAATAATATATAATTAATGAGGATAAGAAGTGATTCGTTATATATGAAAAATTGTAAAGGATTCATGATTCATGTTTCATGGTTTATAATTTATGTTTCATAGTTTCATGGTTTCATGATTCATGATTCATGTTTCATGTTTCATGGTTTCATGGTTTCATGTTTCATGGTTTCATGTTTCATGGTTTCTGATTCATGGTTTTATAGTTTCATGATTTATGTTTCATGTTTCATGGTTTCATGATTCATGTTTCATGTTTCATGTTTCATGATTCATGTTTCATGGTTTCTGTTTCATGGTTTCATAGTTTCATGATTTATAATTTATGTTTCATGTTTCATGTTTCATGATTCATGTTTCATGGTTTCATGATTCATGGTTTCTGATTCATGTTTCATGGTTTCATGATTCATGATTTCATGTTTCATGGTTTCATAGTTTCATGTTTCATGGTTTCATGTTTCATGGTTTCATGATTTATGATTCATGTTTCATGGTTTCATGATTCATGTTTCATGGTTTCATGGTTTATATGATTTATCTTTATTTATGAATCAGAAATTATGAAATATAAATTAAAGTTTCATGATTTATTCTGATGATTCATTGTTGATTATTTATAATTTTTATTTTATTATTTGTGGTTCATGATTTATGA